AGTCAGGTTTCAAAATAAAAAAATTTTAGTTTCTGATACCAATTGTTTCCCTAAACACGTGCAGTAGAAACTATTAGAACCTACAAAATGCTGTAATTATATATGAAGACTAAATCAATTTATTATTAATTCAAAAGAATCCTTTATCTGAAATTCTTGGGACCAGAAGTGCTTCAGATTTTGAAATACAGGTTATTTAATCTGTATATTGCATCTATAAAATGGGGCAGCTTTGGAATGGAACCCAAGCATAAACACGACGTAGCTATAAATTTCATAACAGCTTATGCATATACCCTGAAGGCAGTTTTATATAAGCAGCATATGTTCGCTTCAACACTGACAAATCCACTTCTTCAATACATGATCAAGATCATCATTTTTGCTTTGTGCAGTTTTTCTATTTTTCATTAGTTTCTGTTCATCTGTTTCCTTAGGTCATATATGGTGGCTGTTCCAACGCCAAACTCCTCAGTCAGATGCTTCACACTTGCACTTGTCTAGTTTTTCCAACAGTTTGACTTTCTGTGATATTGATAAAAATAAAACCTTTCTTTTTTCTTTTCACTATCCATATGAGTATCTACAGGACTTTTTGACATTTTGAATATCTTTACTGAGCACAAAACACCTGGTAAGTAATCCATGAACAAATGTGTTGCAGTGACGATCACTAGCAAAAAACTAGAGCCAACATAGCTGGGATGGGGAAACCCAGGGCAGATGAATTCACTTACAACAGCTGCATGTTACATAGGAACCTTCCCAGTACTTTCTGAAATTTTCCATTTGTAGCAAGTCATGTCAGAACCTGAAAAATTTACTGATTTTGGAATTTCTGACAAAAGATATTCAACCTGTACTTGATATCTACCATCACACTAGGCTTTTTTGAGAAATTGTCTTTTTCAGGTCATGAATTCTAATCTTTTTCAAGAAAATTTAAATATATGCATTGTTTTTACTTAGTTATTCTGGGTTATCATTTCTTTATTTACTTAAGAAAATTAACGTTCCTGTTTCCAAAATGCCAATTTTTGAAGCTTCATTTCAGCTCTGCACTTTTAGCCCACAGAAAAGGTGTCACTTTATCTTTTTTATTGGAAGACATTTCCAGAGATCTCTCTCCAAAACACTGCACTCAACTTGAAGTCATATACCGATGGTACATTTACACTTGTCAGTACAGGCCATTCATTAATTAATCAAATCTTGTGAGACCACACTGCTAGTGTGAGGATTGGTGAGTTGGGTGAAATATATTCCATACCAGAAACAATCTTAACTGTGTGTTGACTACTCTTGCTTAACCACAATCAATTACTACAACTATCTTGCTTATAAGATCTGACCTTAGTGGTTTCATTATCTAGCCACACCTTCTCTAACAAAGTTAAAAATTGGTTTTATTTGTAGTTTTTATTAGAAAAGTGTTTCTTCATTATTGAAACATCTGAAATTCATGAAATTGTAAGATTGTATTTCTAGGTCTTAATTTCCTGTATTTTATAACACTATGAAACTGACTACATTCTAATTGAAATTTGTAAAAATTTAAAAGGATTTTTTTTTTAACACACTACTTCTAAAAGCAAAAGAAATCTTCAGAAACATCAAGAGCAATTTCAGAAACAATACATTAGATTAGATAGGTATTAACTGTAATTTACACAAGAAATAGCTTCTACTAACATGTAGAAAAATCCATGGCAACGACATTTATTGTTTTAGACAAAGAACATAGCCTGAAGTGTTTATTTTATCTTTTTTTTTGTAGAACAAAAAAAAAAAAAAAAAAAAAAAATTAAACCTTATTTGAAAAGGCTTACGTTTCCCATTTATTATTATTATTATTATACAAAACAAATTACTTGATGGAATTATGATTTCTTTAAAATATTAAAAAAAAAATATGTCATTCAATAAACATTCTTTTTATATATGAAATAAGTGCAGAAATACTTAAGTTTTCTTTACAGAAAAAGGCATATAAACACCGAATAAAATTTTGTCTATTGATTTTATCAAGTGACATTTGGTGAATAACTTAAATTTCTATTATTCCATACAAATTATTTTTTTTACAATCACCTATGTGTCATGTCCCATCAGGACGTGTGCAAGCAAAGCTCTCCATCACTTTCTATCCTTTGTGACTCTTGGTAGGTTATTAAAAGCCAAATATATTTCGAATTGCAGGAGGTTGCTTACATTATGGCTCTTAGTAGGGTATATGTTTTTGCTATCTCTCCTACTCCCTGTTCTGCCAAACATTTACACAAGCTCATTAGGTAGGTTATTCACTGCTTTCCTCTGTCTATCTTGACTTCAATGTCTTGCAAGCATCAAATTCTACTTTTATAATAGTTCAGAAAGGTTTTTGAAAAATCAATTTTTATATACAATGGCCACAATAGTAATTGACCTTGTACCACATTTTGTACTAAATTAAATTACTAAATAATAATTTACTGTTTGAACTGATATTTTTGCTTTGTGCATATGCAATATCATTTTCTATTTTCAGATAAGTGCTATTGACAAAGAACATGGGTAAACATGAGAAAATAAAATAAATTTAAAAAAAAAACTATATGCAACTACAGGTATATTTGGTAGACACTTGTGACATTAAATATCACAAAAAGTGTCAAAGTTCATACTCTTGACATTTTTATAAATTCTCTTCAAAACGTTTAAGGTTACTGATTGGTGGCTTGTACTTGAACGAAGTGCAGAAAGAAAGATAAAAAAGAAAAAAAATTAAGATTTATAAATATAAAATATTCTGCATAATTAAAATTTCCTGCATTTTCCCAATAAATAAAACAAATAAAAACTTCTAAAAATGCTTTGTTAGTGAAACCATTAAAGGGAAATAATTTCTTAGTCTATTAAAATGGAATAATGCGTTTTTCTTTTATTCTTAAATTGCGGAAATAGAGTTTCTTATTGAAGTTTAGTTACTATTTATACAAAAAAATAAATACTAGCTACTAGCAGTTGATCTGATCAGTAGCCAAATCAAAAAAAAAAAAAAAAAACTTAATTTTATGAACAGAAAAAGTTTTGCTGTTATATTTTGCCAAATATAAAAAAAAATTCCGGTTATTGTTAAAACTGGTTCAAATTGCATAACACTAACAGTGACACCGAATTATGTCCATTATATTTTCCTTATCTTTTTTATGTACTAGAGAACTAGCCTTATATTCTGATCCACACTTTAACATTCAAAGATAAACTAAAAAAAAAACCGATGATGACCAACGTCCATTTAAAATTGTTTTCAACTAACAACTAATCACTCTCTCCTTGCACAAATTACATGAATCTTTCAAAAGTTTGATTACATTTACATTTTACAGTAATAAATAAATAAAAAATGCATGTTGAAAAATGAGACACTATAATGTCTCATTTTTCAACATGCATTTTTTATTTATTTTATTGACCACAAATATTGAATGAGTTTTCTCTTCAAAATCCTGAATGAATAGAACTCCAAATATATAAAAAAAAAAAAGAAAGAAACAAGGACGGTATTTTAATATGGAACCCAAATGAAATAATAAACTCAACATTCTAAATCTTTTATTTCGGAAAATTTATTCAAAAAGAAAAGAATGTTTGATGTGGACAAAAAAAACATTATTATTCTTACGACTTTGGAAGATCGAATTCACAACTAACTGTGCTTTCACAAAATAAATTTTTCGCTATGAATTCTCACCCCAACAACCGTTTCTTGTATTGATTTCTATCTTTACTATCTCTATTAAATAATTTATTTACTTAGCTTTAATAAAGAGAAAGAATAATTTTATTTACATAAATAATTAAATTTAAAAACCTTGTTTGTATTCTTTTGGAGTGCAGAGTTTGAATTTAAGAAGGAAGTCATCATAAAAATGTCTTTTTTTCATTTTTGATTTACATTATAATTAATTTTTAATTTTGAAAGAAAATTTTTTTAATGAAAATGTAGTGTCATTTTCATATACTGTTTGTTTGTATACAAGTTTTAAAAACTTTTAGAATTTTTATGCAAAATAAAATACGAAAACAACGCAAGTTCTAAATTTTATTTTTGTAGAAAACTTTATTATTTTGGTAGAGTTAAAGAAAAAGAAAATTTATTTATTTTATTCACAAGCTAAAAGTAAGTGTCAAGTGATAAGTAAGTCAAAATTGAAAATTATTACTGTAATTTTCAATTTTGATTTTTTATTAATGTCATTCGATATGATGGTGTAATAATTACACCATCATATCGAAATGACAATGTGGCACTTTTTATTTATTTATTTTTTTTTTTAAATACCAGATGGTTGGTCAATAAACTGTTTCGCCAATCTAACTTTTAATTCTTTCATGTTAATTATCTTTACGCTAATCTAAATAAATAAAAACATTAAAACCTGATCAATTAGGAAAAATAACTTGGGACTCACTAGGTCAAGAAGAGTTTTTAAGACGTGGATGGAAATTTACTTGAGTGCAAAAATAATGTGATCATATTTTCGTTTTTTTTTCTCTCCTCTATAATTTTTTTATTAAAATATAAGATTTTTTTCATCAAACAGTTTGTTTCCTGTTGATTATTAAAAATAAAAGTTTTAAATTAACTTTTTTTTTTTTCATCGAAAGTGATAACTTTTAGGAATTTGTCCTTTTTTTCCTACGGTTTGGCCACTTCCTATTTCATAAACTATAATTATGATTTTTAAAAATAATTTATATTGTTCGAGATAAGATTTTTTTTATAAGTATTTGTCATTCACCCAACGTCTTAAAACATTTTGTACGACAATCTCGCGTTCAGATTTATAGAGACCAGAAACTTATATAAAAGAAGAATAAGATTATTAAAGATCTACAGAGCAACTTCGGAACACCAACGATTTTAGCAGAAAAATGAAATTGTTTATTAAAATAAGACCTCATCAGCACCATAATTGTTGTTATTGAATGCGTGTAAAAATGACAAGAGACCTCACCTGAGGTAGATCTGTACGACATGTGGGACAATAGTGCTCTACACACAAAACTCTCAGCCTCGTTGAACACTTGTAACAAATTGGGTGATCGCACACACCAATTGCTAGTATCACCATCTCATCGCTGCAAACAACGCAAACGTTGTCTTCGGCTTCCATTTCGTTTTTGTGCGGGCTAGCAGGAGAAAAACCCAACAAGTTTTTACCAGGAACCAAGTTTGAATGTTACCAATCCCACACCCTGATTAGGACATCATGGTTCAAACTTGAGTACTATGTCACAAACATGTGTAATACGTCATGACTCCCGCGATTTTGGCTAACCGAAATTTCCCGAAATTAAACGTATTTTACTCCAGTTAAATTTCACCTAAAGCTACAAATATTCTTGCAAGTCCATAAAAAATTGCATTTATCATTATATCAATATATAAAAATATTGAAAAAAATTTTTAGTCTCGCTCTGAGGATGTAATTTATAGCGCATAACTGCTGACGTCACAGTGATTATCATAGTTGTAGAAAAATTCAAGATGTCAAGTGGAGGCGCTTATGGAGCTGGAAAAGCTGGAGTGTCGTTTGACCCTCTAGTCTTTTTCCAAAGACCGCAAGTGATCATTCGTATCATAAGTTGGGTACGTAGTTTACTTTTTCTTTCATACAAATTTATTTGGGCTCATCGTTGATTATTTAAATTAAGTTTCATCTTGTTTTCTCAGTCGTCCCTTTATCGCATATAGCCATTCAATGAAGTGGCTACAAACTGAGGGTTCAATCTATGATTTTCGTTTCTTCTAAACTGAACCCCCAGTTTATGGGATAACCCAACAAGTGGGGGTCTGTATAGCAATAGTAAATACATTTTAAACTGATCCCCCTTTTCTGCACTCGCATTTTGATTTAAAAAGCCCCCACACTCTCGAAATAATAATAATAAAAGCAAATGTAAGCCGAAAAGAGAGAATAATAATTGACTTAATTTTATTCAATGATTTTGTATCTGTGATACTTGTTGATAAAAAGGAAAACTGAATATGTTGTCTTTTCCATCTACATAGCAATTTTTATATTCATTTTGCTTTTTTGTAAGTCGAGATTTGTTTTCAAGAATTCAAAAACCTGGGCTAAAAAATACTTTCTGATCAGTGATCATGTGAAATGTGTTTTAAAATTATAAATCATTCATACTTGATTGTTGATTCCTTTATTCGTCTGCTATAATAAAAAATAAAAATATTTGACTTTATTTGTATTAATTGAAATTTAACTGTTATTTATTTAAAATTTGATTCCTTCTTTATTGCTATGTTGGTTTTACTTTTAATTTTTCATTATAACAGAAAATGATTATTGACTATTGACTTACTTAACTATTTTTTTTCCAATCATAAATTAAAGAATTTTGTCTCTTTACTCTTTTACAAATATATTTTGAATGTTTAATTCTGTATTCCTTGCCTTTCTGAACCAGTTGCTAGGTCGAATAAATTTCTTTCAGTTATGTTGTGTAGTGAAAAAATGTTAGTCCTAAATTATGGATTTTTTAATTGTACTTTTTTACTTTACGTAATGTCCTATTTTATGTATCATTTATTTATTGCTTGTACCTTTTTGTTTAAAAATACATCAGTCCATTTTTAGTTGATTTTAAATAAAAAAACAAAAAAAAAACATCGATGATAATTAAGAAAACGATTTTGTAACTGTACTTGCTCGTTTTCTATTATTAATTAATTAATTAATTAATTATTCGTGTTTTTTGTATCCAAAGTAATAATCATCTCTAAATTTATTGACATTTATTTCGCGATTAGAATTTGTTTCTTCATAAATAAATGATTGCATGAATATTGAATCGTAACATTTGTTTTTCAAAAATAATAATTTTTTTTAATCAAAATTGTAAAGTTGTGTGAAAGTCATGTTTTTTTAATATTAGTTTCTTTACGACATAAATCTTCTTTTAATCATTCATTGTTAATTATTATTACTAAAAAAATCAATGAGTGGCTACTGATTGTAGAAATGACAGCAATTCACGTGCTGATAAAAAAAAACATTTGATTTCAATGTGAAATATTTCGTGAATGATAAAGTCTCTACTAGTACTAAATCAATAAATAATTATTGTTAATTAATAATTCATTAGCACTACTTTGCATATTTATTTCAATTTTACGATTTCCATCTGCGATTCAAGTAATATTGTTGTTTTTTAGCACATCACCAAAAAAGTGTGTATGTACGGTTTTTTTTTTCATTAATGCTTTATTTAATCATGTTTCTTCTCTTAATACTCGCGATAATAGTAATTATTTATTTTATTGAATTCTTTTCATTTTCATAAATCACATCTGAGATAGTCTACTTGCTGCTTTTTCTTTTCCCCCCTTGTGATTGTACAGGATTGCAAAGATAATAGAAAAGAATGTGGGTGTATTATAATGTCTATAGTTTCCTTAACCACCGAAATGATGCTCCTGCTGCTACTGCAACTATCATCATCATCGTCGTCGTCAATGATAATTACTACAACTACTACTACAAGTTTAAGAGTAGTTGCAACACGTAGCGGCAGATATAGTTGTAACAACATGGCTAAATAAATCTCTAATGCCACTAGCAACACTGCTTGTAAGTTAACAATAGTAGTATAGGGGGGAGGCAATTTATGGATGATGACTGATGGCACCATCCTTTCAGTTATTTTGTTATCTAATATATTGCTCTTTTTTTTAATGTCACATCGTTCATGTCTGTCCTTCAGAATAGTTCATCAATAATGAAACTTATTTCAAATCTGCATAATGTTTCCTCATTGATCCATTTATTTTCTGATTCTACAGCTTTCTCATCATTTTTTTTTTATTATCAAAATGTTTTTCTCTCATATGGATATGCATATTTATCTTTCACTTTCGATGTAACCTTTTCAATAGCATATGCATATGCAAGATCGACATAAAATTTTTATCATTCACTTTTTCTGCAGTTTCCACATCTGACTACACAACATCGCAATAAATTAGCGATTTTTAATCATGTTTTATAAACTGCCCACCTACATGTTTTTTTTTTATTATTTTTCTTGCAACTTTTATTCTCTTCTCTTCCCCCAACTTTTTCGTTTACTTGTAGGTTTTTTTTTTTTTTTCATTTATTTTTATTTTTTTATCGATCGATGGATCGATTTTTCTCTCTCTGTCACTTCTGTTCTCCTTTCACTAGTTCCGAAAAGTCTTTTCTCGGCTGCTTCTTAATTTATTAAATGTTCTTCGCCTCACCTCCACTTATTTTTTTTCTTCTTCTCCCTTTCATAAAACGATTCAAGGGTAACTTGTTTCATTTGCATGTTAAATAACTAAATTGTCAAATAACATTTATTTTTGAGCTTGACTCCCCTAACAGCTGTGGTTGAATCGAAAGCCTCCTTTATCTCTCTTTTCTGTCTAATAAATTTGCTTATTGTTGAATTATCATTATTCGTCTCTTTCAATTTTAAATGATTCATCCTTTAATCTGACCTTGCTATGCTCTCTCTAGTATTTTCTTTTTAAGTCCCAACGGAAATAAAATATATGACTTCTTTTCTTCCCCGCCGGCAGTTGTCAAAATTTTTTTTTTTTTTTTGTTTTTTTTTTGTTACATGGATTTTTAAGTTTGAAGATTGTGGTTACATTTAAAATCGAACTTCGATCCGAAATAGTAACTTAAAAAAATCTAGATTCGATTTTTGCAAATAAATTTTTAATTTTTTTATCGAGAAAGTTTGCTGCAATTTTAAATCGCTTCACTAATCAGATTTTCTTGGATGATTCTCTTTTCGTATCAACATAGCAAATGATGTCCTTTTCTTTTTCTACCTTGACCTTTTTGTGGTGGCTAAGAACACCTATGTCAGCAAATGGCAACGCAAAAATGTTTTTACTTAATCACTTTTCATTTCCCTCTCTTTTCTGTTTTAGTTTTATTTTTTCTTTCCATATCGAAAATACCACTTCATTTATTTTTTATGATTTTAAAAAAATTTTTTTTTTTTTAAATAACACCTGTCGTTTAAGAAAATTTTTCATTCTTTAATTAATTGTAATGTAATGTAACTCTATTAAAAAATTAGAACTGAATCATTTTTAGGCCTCTTTTTAAATAACTTAAGTAATTTGGATCACATTTAATTAAGTCATATGGCTATGTAGTTGAATGACATCCATAACAGAAATATTTGACTTAGCAGTTTTTCAGGCCTTGAAGTTTAAACCATTCCCAGGTGCACATCACCTCTGTTCGTCTGTAACTTACAAGAGAATGTTCCATATTGACCATCTCATACTGTCAACTACTGTTATCTCTGCTTTATACACAAGCGGTTATTCATAACTGTAAATTATGTTGATAGATTTTACAAGTATGCAGTTAACATGCTTTATATATATATATATATATATATATATATATATATATATATATATATATATATTGTAAGCATCAGATTTAAAGTTCAAATTACTACTACAGCAGTTATGCAAGCCTACAAGTTAACTAACAAGTTTACAATGTATACTCATCATTTTCTAATTAAGATGATAGATATTTACTTTTAAGCAAATTGTCTAATAATGACTCCTGTTCTCATACTAGTTTCGTCAGTTTTAACCATTGTATCCTTCATCTTTTTTCAAGTGTATCAGGTTTTTTTTTTTTTTTTTTTTTCAAACTGAACCCTTTATTAAATTCATGAGGTTAGATTGTTTTCCTTCCAGTGGTGATGCTAAAGGATTACTTGCATCAATTAATTCTAACTAGTTAATTTGTGATATTGTACTTCCATGTGATTGGACTCTGTTCCCATGTAATTCAATCCACTAATAACCTCATCAGTAGGCCTAACATAGAAATGAAACCATATGGGAGCTTTTGATTAAGAAAGAACATTAGTCCTAAAACTAAAAAGAAAAAAAAAAAAGTTCCATCTAATTATACTGTTGGTAATCCAGTTGAAGAAGCAAACAAGCACCATTAGATTTAAGGCTCCAAGACATCTGGCCTATTGGATAAAATGAATTGGTTTAGATAGTCGAGTGGTTGTGAGATTGATCTTTGCATAAGTTAGTGCAAAAAAAAATGTCATACTGTCTCCCAAAGACAAGTGATATAACAAGAATAAACTAACTGGATAACATTAACTGAAGTAAGACTGTAAAATTGAATCAAGGGTATAGTTTGAAATTCCAAGAAGAACACAGCCAGTATACTGATCAAAACATTATGATGATGATAGTGCAGTTTATGACCATAATCCAAATCAGTGTGTGTTTAATTTTTTTATCTCAAAAATTTGCTTTAGTCATTGTATATTTAACCTCTATAAATGCATTCCTGGGTTGATTGATGAGTTTGATGTTTTCTTGAATCATTGCCATTTTATTTTTATTTTTGAATTAGACATTGGTCCTTAGGCTTGACAAATTCATATTGGTTTTGTTTCCAGATGATAAATAGTCAATTAATTTTGCTTGTATTCCCAGTATACACTAACTTTTTTTAAGTACACAACTTGACTATAATATGAAAAAAATTTTAACCCTGTGTTAGTCACACCCCCGCCCATTTTTTAAGCACTTGTAATTCCTAGTTG